GTAAACCGCTTAGAGAGGGCTGAAAGCCCTATGAAGTGGTATATAAGTCTAAGTGCTATTGCTATTGGTCTCTCCCCAACCTGAGGCTCAGAAATCTTCAAAATAGAAGTGAGAAAGAAAGAGAGTGTGGGGCCTGGTACAGTGGGGTGGGGAGAGGGAAATATCCACAGGGTTCCAAGGGATGCCAAGCAGAGTGTGTCGGGGTGGTGGTGGTGACCTTAGGAAGTCTAGAGAAGGCAGGCTTGGGACTGCACTAGACCTCCAAGCCTACTCTGACAGACCCTGTGCTCTGCTTAACGACCTACAAGTTAATTGAACAGCTGCATCAGGTGGGGATCCTTAAGCAAGACCACCTCACTTAATGGCCATCACTACTTACAACTGTAATGGGAAGGATCTATTACAGTTGTAACTCAAGGACTACCTATATAAAAAAAATCACAGCAAAATTATACTAAGGCAGAGTTGAAATGTATTAATGTTACCTGTTATTTATTTATTCTGTTCAGGCAATGATGTTATTTTCATTATAGCACTTCATTTACAGAATATTCTCAACAATACTATTAGCTGCCATAAACTTTTTAAAATGTACAGCAATTTATATATTTTACTACTTTTCAATTTTACCTGAACTTGTTTGGATAAAGGGCAGGATATCAATTAGTTTAGATAAATATAATAATAATTCCTTACGTCAAAGGGTCTTCCCAATTAAATGTTATTAACGTCTTCTATCTTCAATTGGGATAATACTGTCAGATAACTGAGTTGCGTGGAGATTATGAGGAAGATAACTAATCAGCTTGAAAGCCCTGCTGCTTCATTGTAGACAAGGTAATGGGGATTTTTCTTACATTTTAATTCCATGATGATCTTTATTTTTATAACTTTCTTATTACTGAATATGACATAAGGAAACTATCTTTGCCAACTCAGGACTGGTGTTGGTAAGGAACAAATAAAACTATTGCTTGACATAAATTAGTAAGATGGCTCAAAAATAAATAGGTATTTATCATTTTCTATTGTAGTTCTACATTCAAAATACCTTTAAAATGTACTTCTAAATAGGGAAATATATTACTACATAGTCAAACATTTTAAAATACTGCTAAATTCTCCTGTAAATGCACTGCTAAGAAAGAGAACTTAGTGATATTAACTATTTAATTCCTGAATAACTGGAGAATCATCTTACCTAACCATAATCTTACATTTCATACTTAACTCAAAAACACCTGTTTGAAATTTGTCTCTGAAAATTAACTCTATGCAAAGATAAGTGAACCTCTATGTGAGGAATTAAATAGCTCATAAAATATAGTTACATTTTCAAGTATATCATATTCTTACAAATTTAAAAAACAAACAATAAACATAGGTTATTAACATACTTATCTTGTTTGGTTGCACTGTATTTGGGTGCTTCCCAAATGTTCTGGATCATTACTCACACAATTCTTGCCATTGCAGATTCCTTCTTTTGATATTTATTAAAATATTTCACTGAGAGATCTCCTCTATATAAGAGTGATGGGAGCCTCTGGTGTCTGGGGCCAAGCTATACAGGCCAAGCAAGGGTCGAAGTGGGTGGAGCAATAAACCAAGAGGGAGGAATGGAAGCTCTTACATTTTTTGTTTGCCTTCGCTGTCCTTGCCACTTTTAACTTTTACTTATTACATTAATTTATTCGTTTATTTTACTGTTAACTTTAAGTTCTAGTTTTTAATTTTATATACTAGTCTTTGATTGTTAATTGTTAGCTGCCTTAAGGGTTTGCCTGAGTAGAAAAGTGAAGCATAAATCAAACAAATATATTATCAAGAAAATGTACAATATATAATTGAAAGACTCATTGATCCTATTATTGTATACCTCCTTGGCCATGTCGGTGTATTTTTGTTTTTCTTTAGGTTCAAGAAGAGACCACCAATCTGCCAATATTTTGGTAGCACCACGATTGTCCAGACGAGGATGTTCTTGCCGGACAAGGGAACGATGACGTTTGCAGAACAAAAGGAATGCATTCATTGGTCTGCGAGCTCGCTGTTCTGAAGATTCCTCATCTTCTGTTTCATCAGCATCATGATCAAGACCATCAGCACTCAGAATCTGGACCTATTTTACAATGAAGAAAATATAACATATACAAAGAATGTTACTGACAAGGATTTCTTATTACATCCACAAGTTATTTGCTCTGATACCTAGTTTCAAGTAAAGAAATATGTCTGTATGCAAGAAAAAAAAAACTTATTCTACTTAAAGCAGACTCTCCACGAAGATGTTTACATATTCCAGTTTAAACAGTTTAAGAGTATGAAGTCTTTGATACTAGAAGCAATATATAAATTAAGTAAATCATATAAAATATTATGTTGGTTGAAATAATTTCTTCTTCTTTTCCTTCCTCCTCCCCCCTCTCCTCTTTCCTGTTCCCCTCCCCCCTCCAATAAAGATTATTGTCCAATAAAATTGCATTCCCCCCCTTCTTTAATATGTCCCCTTTCTCTCTCCTTCCCTTTCTTCCTGTGATGTTTCCTGTGAATGATGGCTCATCCACATCTTCCTCAGAGGCCTCAGGGGAGAATGAGAGCATTCCTGGCACATCCAGTATTGCTGACCCTGAACTGTCTGCTGAACATGCCTCGGCTGGGGAACGCTCGAAGGCCAATGGGGAAGAGGGGGAGGAGCTGCGGCCTTGGTAGATGCTAGAGCACACAGGGCAGAGAGGCGAAGATCTGCCAGATTGATGGGGGAAAGGCTCCACCCTTCTTAATGAGCTGCACGAGGAGGGACTATTTGGCATGGCAGGCAGAGGGAGACGTTGTTGGAAGCAATATGTGTCTGTCGTGGCCAGATGGTTGTGTGTGTTTCTGGAACTCTGCAGCTAGTGGATTTAATTCAGTTGCAGAGAGCGTTTATGTTTGTGTTTGGAGCAGCCGGTTATCTGTCAGTTGGACTAATTCGCCATTGCCTGGAAGGTTAGTTTGGAGCTTGTTCGTGGCTCGCTTCAATAAAAATGACCTACCGAACACCTGGATTGGACTATTCCTACGACTTCTCCTTGCAAACCCTGAAACTCGGACCACCGGACTTATTGACAAGTCTTAGTGGAGGCCCCTAATCTCAGAGAGGATTTTGAGCTGTTTGTTTTTGGAACCTATCCAGGCAAAACCTTTATTTTCAAAATTGTTTTGGTTTGGCTATACGTTTGTTTTGCTTTTGGTTATCTATTTGGTTGTGAGCCAATTATTGTGCTAAGCCTGCAGCTGGGGGTTAGCTGAAAAGCTGAAATGGAACTGTTGTGGGAACAGACTGAATAAAGCTCTCTACACCAACCCTGACATGGGGGTGAGTGGGGGAAGCACACTTCCCCTTTAACTCATTTGACTATTTTAATTATCGTTTGTCATATATATATATATACACAGATGTGTATGTACATGGGTTTGTCAAAGGCATTCTCTTTTTTATATAACCTGGTTTGAGTGGAATGTGTTTAAATAAAGAAATGCAGGAATTAAAAAGTAAGACAACTTATTCTAATTTCAACAACAAATAATTGTTAAAATTAGCCTCCTCAATATTTTATGGGGAATTAAAAAAACATAAAGAACAATATATTAACAAGAAGAATAGGATTTGGCCAGGATGAATTAGCCTCAATTTTTCCTCTTATCTATGTAAGAGGAACGAGAACAATATTGGAAGGAACTACTACTAAGTGATGTAGTTACAAAGCATAAAGGTATCCTGGCAATTAAAACTTCCGGATGGCTTCCAACAAGCAAAGCAGGCAGGAAGTTGCAAACTCCAGGAGGATTGCAATCTGGAGGGCAGGAAGTGGCTGCTGTCAGGTGCGGGAGGCTTGGTACTATGGCATTAAGTGCAGCAGGGCTAGGGAAGGCTACTGACAGATGTCGGATGGTAGGCAAATGGCTGGTGAGGAATGAATGAGGTCATGTCAGGGATTGCTCTTCTTGGTAAAGGAAAATGTGTAGATGCCCAGTGAGACAAGACAGAGTTGCTGCTGCTGGGTGGAAGAGACCAGAGCAACTTCTAACCTTAACTGTAGGCTTTCCCCACTGATTTTGCTTGAGTGAGGCCAGTAGGGAAAGTCACAAATGGCAATCACATAACCATAGGATACTGTAACCTAGGAATGTCAAACTTGATTTCATTGAATGCTGCATCAGGGTCTGGATGGGCAGGGCCAGCTTGACATCACTCATGTCAGGGGTAACTGTGGCCGGACACTCTGCCAGAGAAAAGTCTCCCAAGCTCCATTTTAGGCTATGATGGCCTCCGCCAACCCTCTACCAGCAAAAACTGAGCTCGGAAAGGCCGCATTTTCACTGGCAGAGGCACTGTGGGCCAGTCCTTCGCTATTTCCAGAGTTCTCCTACAGGCCGAATGTAAGTACCGCGCGGGCCGGATGTAAATAAGAGCCGAGGTGGCACAGTGGTTAGAGTGCAGTACTGCAGGCCACTTCAGCTGACTGCTATCTGCAGTTCAGCGGTTCAAATCTCACCGGCTCAAGGTTGACTCAGCCTTCCATCCTTCCGGGGTGGGTGAAATGAGGACCCAGACTGTGGGGGCGATATGCTGACTCTGTAAACCGCTTAGAGAGGCTGAAAGCCCTATGAAGCGGTATATAAGTCTAACTGCTATTGCTATTGCTATAAATACCCCGCAGGCCGGATCCGACTCCCAGACCTTGTGTTTGACACCCCTGCTGTAACCATTTTAAGTGTGAGCTGATTGTCAAGTGATCACATGCCCATGGAGTTATTGGGACAGATAGAACTTGTGAGGACCACTCAGAAATACAATTCATTCAATGCTGTTGTAACTTTGAATGGGTGGTCATTAACTACTTGTAACCAATGAAATTCATTTCCTGCTCAGTGCAGGAATTCAAGTTAAAGCGTATCTAATGGAGGATTCAATAGCAGTAGACTTAGCAATAGCAATAGCAATAGACTTATACACCGCTTCATAGGGCTTTCAGCCCTCTCTAAGCGGTTTACAGAGAGTCAGCATATTGCCCCCAACAATCTGGGTCCTCATTTTACCCACCTCGGAAGGATGGAAGGCTGAGTCAACCCTGAGCCGGTGAGATTTGAACCGCTGAACTGCTGATCTAGCAGTAGCCTGCAGTGCTGCATTTAACCACTGCCCCACCTCGGCTCAGTGAAACACCTGTCAGTGTTGTAGGACTATGACTGACAAGAGTTTGTCTTCCAACAGATTGTCAGAATTAAGTTTCCTATCTCTACTGCTTCTTTGAAAAATCTGCAGTTTTGGTTTTTGGACAAATCATCCACATTTGCTTTGACTAAGTGGATGATAACTGACACCAACAATATAACTTTTAGTGTTTGTCCATGTCCTTCGACTCTTTACAATATTGTCAATTTCATTACTTGGATTTCTCTGTTTATTGCTTCCAATCTTCTTAAACAAACTTTTTTCTTCAACTACTACACTGTAATCTATGACAGGAATTTCACCAGATGTCTATAAGTTAATACATTTTATATGCTTCTCTGTACTAGTTGATGTTCATTTTATTTTCCTTATTCAGAAAATCAGAATATAGACAACCAAGGCCACAAACTTTTATCATTAAATCATCTTGATGTTTCATACTGAGGTGCAATAGGTAATTTACCTACATTAAAGACTCCCACATTCTTCTATAATGTTCTAGTTTATCATGTATAACCTCAGACACACACTCCTATTTCAGAAAGTGAAAAACAGTAATAAAAAACTAAAAATACAAAAACCAACAGAAAAAAATGCACAAACATACATTTCAGATACCATGTTTCATCAGCTCTCCAATTCCCTTTAGAAAAGGTCTATTTTTAAATATAACTGGAAGGAAAGTAGAATTTGTGTCAAATACACAATGGCAGGAGGCCATTACAGAAGGTCAGCCAGAAAATGCCAGAAAAACAAGGTATTTAAGTCTCAGTCCACCAATGCCCCCAAAATGGGGAACAATCAGATGCTTTCCCAGAATAATCAAAGTGGTTTGACTTATACCAATGAAGAGATACTGAAGGTAACCTGGTGCCAAGCTATAAGGGGCTTTCTAGGATACAACCAACACTTTAAAATGCTGTATTTACCCATTGGTACCCATGTATCTCTGGGTGATTGCTTTTTGTACCAAATGAAGCTTTTAGATAGTCTCTAACTCTTGTAGTATTTGATTTGTCCAGCCAGATAGGTGGGTGGGCTTACTCCAGGTTCCATGTCTTAAGCAATGTTTGTCTAACACAAGACAAGAGGTGAAATGATACCGGTTTGCCCGAACCAGTAGTAAAAAATACTACCGTTTGCCTGAACTGGTAGTAAAAAAATGCTTTAAAAAGGTTTTTAAAAAGTTCCGACCATCAGCTGTGCAACAATCAGCTGTGCTGCGCAATCATCAAACTTTTTAAAAACTTTTTTACAGCATTTTTACTACTGATCAGATATGCGACAATCAGCTATGCCTGATTGTCTGTGAAGTTCCTGCTTGTTGCAGGGGGCATTTTGTGTGAAGTCCAGCTGCTTTTGCATTGTGTGTGAGTCAGTTGTGCAGCCACGCCTACCAGTCACATGACCACCAAACCACGCCCACAGAACCAATAGGGAAAAAAAATTGAATTTCACCACTGCACAAGACATAACTTGCCTGCTGCGGTTTCTGTTTGAACAAGATTCCCCTGAGGTTCAGATGAACCCTGCCTGCCTTTCCGAAGACTATGTTTTATCCCTAAGATTTATGGCTGTTTCTGGTTTTGACTGTTCGAAGTTGTCTGTGGCAAATATATTATGCTATATTTTAATGTGCTTTTTTTTTTAACTGAATACATCATGCATGTCCAATCGGTAGCTTACCTGAGTTGATTGACTAAAAATAAAATCTACATCATTCTAAATTTGGAAATGTATGGGTGGCTCCCAGTTTCATATAGTGAAGGTGTGATTAGCCAGATCCATCGTTGTTAGCTGTTTTTTTCTTTCATAATTATATTGTAGTTTTTTTCTCTTTGGATTTATTGTACATGGCCATACTTCAAGAGCTGTGGTGGCACAATGGATAGAATGCAGCATTGCAGGCTAATTCTGTCAACTGCCAGCAGTTTGATCCTGACTGGCTCAAGCCTTCTATCCTTCGAAGGTCGATAAAATGAGGACCCAGATTGGGGCAATATGCTGACACTGTAAACCGCTTAGAGAGCAAGTGTAAACATTATGCAGTATATAAGTCTAAGTGTTATTGGTAAGATCATCTCAAAATCAAAATCAGTGCCTAAATTGAACTATTTAAATTAAATTACATTACATTCACTCTGTTTATACATTCTCTTTACCATCAGATATTAATAGTAGTATTTGGGTGAAGGTGGCATAACTTCAAGGAAAAGACTTTGAGGGCTTTAGGGTCTGGTGTTTTCATATGTTAATCAAATATAATTTGAGGAATAATATGCTCATCTGTTGTAGTCAGGATCCCACAATATGATTCAGGAAATTTCTTATTAGTTTTCAAAAACAGTATCTGCCTTATAAAAATGCTCTTCAAAACACCATTAAAGATATGGTTCATTGGTCATACAGTCCCTTTGCAGGCTCTGATATGAAAAAAAGCCATTTATAAATGAGCTTAATTTCTTAAAAGAGGTCATCCTCAACTTACAACAATTCATTCAGTGACAGTCCAAAGTTATAACAGCAGTGAAAAAGTGACCTATGACCAATTTTCACACTTACAACAGTTGCAACAGCATTCCCATGATCATGTGATCAAAATTCAGATGCTTGGGAACTGGTTCATATTTATGATGGTCATTTGATCAATTTTTGCAACCTTCTGACATGAAATGTCAATGGAGAAGCCAGATTCATTTTACAACAGTTTTACTAACTTAACAACTGCAGTCATTCACTTAACAAGTGTGGCAGGGAATGGGGCATAAGTCACTTAACAACTGTCTCATTTGGCAACATAAATTTTGGGCTCAATTGTGGACATAAGTTGAGGACAACATGTGTTTTGAGAAGATCCGCATAAACTTAGAGGAGTCATTCTTAATTCTACTTTTCAAAAGGGTAATTTTACCTTTTCAATATCTTCCTCGTCTTCTTCCTCTTCCTCCTCTTCAGAAAAGTCAAGAATTTTCTTTGCAAGTAGTGGATGCCACTGAAGACACTTCCTCTTTGGTCGTTTTCCAGTTCCTTCTCCGTCTGTTGAGTGATCTTTATTCCTATTGCTGCCTTTCATTACTGTGACCTGCCAAGAAAATGAACAAGTATATTTTGTATATTAAAACATGTATCGAAAACAATATTTCAATGTTTGAAAAAATAATTCATTAGTAAGTGTAATTCACTGTAAAGTTTTCAGCCTTTCACGATGCTTCTATACAAAAAGTTAATTTTAGTAGAGTGGAAGACAAAGAAAGATAGCAAAGAAGCCAATGTACAATAGCACTTTTCAAGAATGTTACACAGAAGGTTAAGATCTGTTTCCCTTTATTTCAAGGACAGGGAAAGATAGATTCAAGTTGAATCTTGGAGAAAATCAAACAGTTAGAACAACTAACAAGGGAAATAATCATTTATATTGTTAATTTCATTTAGAGGCTACACATATATTTTATTAAACTATTACTAATAACATTAATACTGTATTTGTGATATAATTTTGTATTGGGAAGACGAAAGATGGTGTAAGTAGATTTGTTTGATTAGTTTTCCATCAGATGACATCTCAATGTAAAGTCAAATTGTGTGGCTCTCATAAACGTTGTTCTTAACAGTCATTTTGGTGATGTGGTTATAGGCAACTGACTAGAAAGCAGGAAACCTTGAGCTTTAGTTCTGTCTTAGATATGAAGCCAGGGTCTCTACAAAATCTTTGGAACTGAATAATTCAGTCTGCATCTCAGAAAACCACCTTCAAATTTTAGCAGCAGGCCCCATCATGTTTTTAGTATCACAACATGATAGTACCTGCTGCTAAAATTTGAAGGTGATTTTCTGAGATGCAGAAAACTCAGTTCCAAAAATTTTGTAGGGACCCTGGCTTCACATCTAAGGCAGAACTAAAGGTCAAGGTTTCCTGGTTTCTAGTCTGTTGCCTTTAACTACAACATCAAAATGGCTCTTAAAATTACTATTATTTACAATTATTTACAATGTACAATTCAATTTGAAGGAAGCATATGTAATGATTGTGGAAGAAACGCACGAAATGTATTTGTAACCAATCAACATGCTTTCTACAAGATGTAACAAAAGATGATTCTTTTTCTGTGTTTTTGTTTAATTAAAACAATAAAACTTTTCAAAAAAAATTACTATTATTTAAACTGCATGTTCTCAGAATATTTTTTAGTAATATTTGGTATCTTAAACTTATTTACACTAAAATGCAAATACTTCTGATTGTTAATTCCAACTGCTCATTATTTTCTTCACTAAGCCATAATTCATCTCTGTGGAATCAGAAATCTCAGCTACCCACTGTTCTTGTTAAAAGGCATATAGAAAATCATGATGACCCAGGATTAAGAACCTTTAATATTAGCTATAAATATATGATTAACACAAGAATGCTTAAGGAAGTACTCCTGTAGGTGATTTCAATGAAAATACAACCCCCCATTCAGTTTAAAGAAGTTAGTAATTAAATACTACCAGTATTACAATGGAAATCTACCATTTTCATTAGATCATATTTTACTATAATACACCACACAGAACAGACTATTTCTTGTTTCCTTGAAGCAACTGATACTCTGTGCTACCACCTTTAATTTCATGCACTTTATTATTTCTGTAATTTTACTTGAAACGCATTTATATATTTGCATTCAATTACAATGTAACTTAATTATATGTAACACATTCTTGTGTTTTTAAACCATATTTTTAATTATAAAACTGATTGTGTCATATTTCTTAAACATAAGTAGAATATATATGTGATTATAAAAAGGATAGCAAGTTTAGGAAATCTATGATCCTTGAAAAGTAAGGCAACATTAATTTTTTCTATTCAGTTTTTATTATGTTCACAGTGATATATGCTGTATGGTAAATCAAATATTATAACATAATTTTTTTCTCTATCTTAACACCATGTGCATACCAAAATTGCTCTAGAATTACCAGTTAAGTAAATAAATATGTTGTATTAGTCTAATACAGCCCTAAAGTCTAAGTTTTAAAAGATCTGTTTATTCTTGGGTTATAACCACCATTGAAAATTGATAAAAATACAAGTGGTACCTGACATTTGAGAGTCATCTTACCTTGTGATCATGATAATCCTGTGAAGAATTTTTATACTCCTGTATGACAAGCTTCACAGTAATAGTGGAAATTATAAATTATAGTGAAATAAAACTGGTATAGGTCATCCTTGTTCAATGACTACTCGTTCTGCAGCTGTTTGAAGTTACAATGGCACTGAATGAGCAAATAATGATTAGTCCTTAAAGTCATACATACAAGTTGTCTCACACTTCTGCAATCATATAATTGTGATCTGGGCACTTGGCAACTAGCTTGCATATATGATGGTTGAAGTGTTACCAGATTACTTCCCATGAACAAAATCAATGGGAAAATTTAAATTTACAGTATTTTTTATTAAGGCTCAGAATTTGCAATTCCATTCTTGGAATTATGTTTCATACAGCATATTGCTTTTCATTTAACTTTACCTTAAACAGTAATATCCAAATATTTACAATGAAACTCCTTGATTTTCTTTTTCCATATTCTACTAACCTTGGGCAAAGATATGGATTATAGGTAACTGCTGAATGTTTACATCTTTATGAGATTTGCTAATGATAAATCCAAATCACTGCTAATGACCTTTTTCTTAAAAAAGGGGGTGGAATAATACTTTTTGGAAGAGGTCTATCAAAAAAACCTATTGTATATTTCACTTTAAATTTAAGTGTTCTAATGGTTACTATACTGTGACTTGATATTTACAATGCCAGCAGTTTAAGTTAGTTTGTTCATTTCCATAAACTAGTCCCATCCATCTCTGTTCAGTTAATTAAGCAGTAGGTAAGAAACCTAATTATATGAAGGAGTACTAAAATATTTTTTAGAAGAGGTTTGTGAAATTGCAAATAATTTTGCACAAAAAGGCATTGTTACCATTTTACAATCCATTAAAACTGGAATTATTCTGTTTCCTGCATCTTTAACTGGATTAAAAAATCTTCTCAGAGTATAAATAATCACTCAGCATGATACTAAGTGCTCTATTGTATAGTACTTGAAAATCTTTCAGAATAAAATAGTGTCTAAAACCAAGCAGAACCAGCATTTTAAATAGTCCTTCCAAATTGTAATGAAAACTTTACAATAGATTATCCTCTCTGTCTTATGAACAATTGTTTACAAAAATTTTCATGTTTTTCAGATGTTTATTATCTCATTAACAATTTGAAATATAATTTATTAAATAGGTACAACATGCAGATTACATTTCCTAAGATACATTTTATTATTGTCATATTACTGTACTGCCTTTCTAAATCACCTATTCAGAGTGTTTTTATATACAGTTTCATAAAAATAAAATAAAACAATGGTAAAAAAGACACGTATTCTGGATATAATATAAAATATTCTTGTTTGCACTATCAATTGATAAAAGAATTCCACCATGTACAACTTTCAAATATAAAAAGGTGAAATGATGCTTTATTATTAGAAACCTGAATTTATTGTTTCAGTGATTAACAAAGTGATATTTTGATTTCCTTTTATTGATTATAAGTTCATCATAAACGTATGATGAACTTATAATCAATAAAAAATAAGATTTGCAAAGTATGGAAGAATGAAGTGCACTGGCTGAACTAAATCTCAAATTATATTATCCCACTGAATGTCTAACTTGGATTACAGACAGGATCATACCAACACATAACTGAGTTATTTCTACTGATGAAGTAGGGCTCACAGAAAGCTTGCGTAAATATTTTTTATTGGATAAAAACAGTAGTATACAGTATATGAGGAATCAATAATTATATTGATGCATGGGAATAAATGCAGAAAAATAGTAAGTCCAGACTTACGCTCTTGTTTCAGTATTAAATATTTATTTTAAATAAATATTTATTTATTTGGTGGCGATTTGGGCGGCTAAATGTTCGCATTTTTCCGCTCTCATTGTGTCCTCAGAATCACGCCCGGCCGCCCTGTTTAGGATAACCCGCTCCCTCCTGAAAGGGAGGGATGCGGGCGAACCCTTGCAGGGAAGAGCCGAGGAATTTGGTCAGTTTCTGTTGGACAAAGTCGCTCAGATTCGGATGGATCTGGACTCCACTTGGACAGTACCTGCTGAGATGCCGAGAGTGGGCCTTCTTGGAGCGAGTTCCAGCTCGC